AAAAAAAAAAACCCCTCACCCTGTTGATCAAGGAGATAGATTTAATGCAAACTATACCTCCTACCTCCCAATTGATGCATCCACTGCAATAAGTTGTTCCTTCCTTGACAGTATTGTCTCAGTAATTGGCTTTCCGTGCTGTGAGCAACAGTGAACTCCTTTGTGGGTTCATTAACACCACCAGTGGGGGAAATTAAAAATCCTTGCACTATGGGAGCTCCACTCAATCTCTTTGTATCTTTGCCTCGTATTTTTCCAAACCAGAGACCAGTCTCATGGAAGACAACTTTTCCACAGATGGAAAGGGAGAGATTAGATTTCAATACAACCTAACCTAGATCCCTTGCATGCACAGTTTACAGTAGGGTTCGCACTCCCATGAAAATCTAATGCCCTCACTAATGTGTCAAGAGGCAGAGCTCAGGTTGTGATGTGAGCAATGAGGAGCCACAGTAAATACAGATGAAGCTTTGCTCCATCACCCACTGCTCACCTCCTGCTGTGCGGCTCTGTTCCTAACAGAAAGTGGACAGGTACCAGTCTGAGACCCAGGGAATGGGGAACCATAGCTGTATAGAATTTGGACTTTGGGTGAACATCCCAAAACAACAATTGAAATCTGCAACATCTTAAGAATACAGAAGGCCAGGGCATGGTGGCTAACAACTATAATCCTAGCACTCTGAGAGGCACAGGTAGGAGTATCCCTTGAGCTCAAGAGTTCAAGACCAGCCTGAGCAAAAAAGCAAGACCCTCTCCCCATCTCTACTGAAAATAGAACAACTAGCTGGACATTGTGGCTGGGACCTCTAGTCCCAGCTACGCAGGAAGCTGAGGGAAGGGGATCACTTGAGCCTAAGAGTTTGAGTTTGCTGTGAGCTATGATGATGCCACAGCACTCTACCCAGGGGCACAGAGTGAGATTCTGTCTAAAAAAAAAAAAAAGAGGAAAGAAAGAAAAAAAAGAAAAAATACAGAGGGCACCAAAAAAAAAGTATAAAAATTTTAAGAAAAAAACTGTATTTTGCTCTTCTCTTTTCTCTTTTCCCTCCTCCTTGGTGCTGCTCTGCAGCATCCCTCCCTCACCAATAAAGACCTTTTGTACAAAAAAAAAAAAAAACTGTACTTAAAAAAATTTTTTTTTGAGACAGAGTCTCACTATGTCACCCTTGGTAGAGTGCTATGGCATTACAGCTTACAGCAACCTCTAACTCTTGGGCTTAAGTGATTCTCTTGCCTCAGCCTCCCAAGAAGCTGGGACTACAGGGGCCCACCACAATGCCTGGCTATTTTTTTGTTGCATTTGTCGTTGTTTAGCTGGCCTGGGCCAGGTTTGAACCCACCAGCCTCGGTGCATGTGGCCAGCACAGTAACCACTGTGCTATGGGCGCTGAGCCACTATATTAAATTTTAAATACTCAAGTCACATTTGACTTCTGCAATTACAAAAGGTGCTCAACATGATTTGTATTCATCTTTTGTTATCAATACATATTGAGTATTATAATATTTATAGTTTTTTCCTTTCTTAAAATGTGTATACATTTTTGGTGGGGGAAGAGCTCTGTATTTTTTCTGATAATGGCCTTACCTACAGGATGTACACAGACTTGGAGATATAATGATTAATCAGAGCCACAGTCACTGGAATTTGAGAAGGACTTTTATAAAAAGCATACTCCTTCTGCTGCTGGCTACTTTACTTCCTAATAATCACACCCAGTATTTCTATACCAATTATAGTTTATACCTGGATCCCATACTCTTTACCAGTGACACTATACTACAGAATTATGTACATCAAGGCGCATGGCTTTTTGTAGAACCTCATGAAAAGCTTCCTCTCAATAGTACCGGGTATCACATTGATATAAGACATGTGGCGCCTCAGCCAGTTCAGCCGAGCTGAGCTGGAGGACCTGCCACCCCAGCCCTGGAGGTGTTGGTGCAGCTGGCAGAGAAACCAGGAGGCTGGAGGGTAGGCAAGGAGGCCCTGTAGGAGGCTCCAGTAGCCAGAGGGGCCAGACAACTGCTGGGGGGACACCAGCATCTTAAGTCTCCCTCCCCTTGCATTTGCAGCTGAACAGGGAACCCCCTATTTCCTAGGCCTGGTCAATTTCCTGTAAGTTTCCTAGGCCTGAGTATGAAAGGGATTATAGCCATTCACTGGCTGCTGAGTTCCAGCTAAATGAAACTATGGAGAACCCCATGCGACTATATATACCCCTGGACAAAGAGCCTGGAGAGACACAGAGAGAGGGAGCTAAGAGAGCATTTTCCCCCCGACCTGGATTCTCTCTGCCAGGAGCTTTGGTGTTTTTATATTTTCTTTTCTGTAAATAAATCTTGTTGTACCACTGATCTGTGGTCTGTGAATTCATTCTTCGAATCACCAAGACCAAGAACCTACTGAAGACGAAATTCCAGCTCAACATGACATGCAATAATAACAGAATAAATTCAGTCTATTACAAGAGCCACAAGACAGTCAAAAGTGATCCCTCCTCAGGATGACTTCTGGTCTAAAAAGAAAACAAAAATGAAGACATTGAGGCCAAAGCTAGGACCACAAAGCTCTGTATTGTTTCACTGACATCTTGGGTAGCAGTGCAAATTAATGGAATGAGAATTATTCTTGGCTATAATAGCATCCCTACTGAGACACATGAAGCAAAGGCTCCATGAAACCTGTCCAACTTTTCATACAAACAGAGCCCAATTCTGTATTCCCCCCACCCCAAGTAGCAAACAGAACCCCTTGATTAAAGGTAGATGAAACAATAAGACCTTTATTTGTGCACAACCAGAACACTGCTAGACAGGAAGTTACCAATGAGTGATCTGGAGCCTGAAAACATCAACACAAGGGTCATGTGAGACCAAGAATTTCCATGAAGATTATCCTTCCCTTCACACTTTGGAACTGAACCCAGAAAGAATGCTTTTAGTCGAAACACAGGTGATCCATAGCATATTTGGAAAGGAAATAAAATCACTCTAAGGGCTGAGGCTACACAAAATTCCTTTAGAAAAATGAGGAGAGCACAGACACCTGTCTTGCCTTGGGGTATCAGGGTTACTTATAGCCCACTATGCAAGGTGCAAGGTGGGTGATAGCTTATATTGAGAAACCAGCAGTGACTGAGCTCTGGCAAGGACCCCGGGCATCTATAATGTGCAAAGCAATACTCTGGTTTCTCTTTTTCTTTGCAGTTTTTGGCCGGGGCTGGGTTTGAACCCACCACCTCTGGTATATGGGGCTGGCACCCCACTCCTTTGAGCCACAGGCACCACCCTCTAGTTTCTCTTTAGATCTTATATATCTTTCACCTTTGAGAATGTGCAAAGAAGCAGCTTGTGGACGCCTAACACACACCTGGAACTCATGGGGAATTTCAACTCTCTGGATCAGGCATCCTCAAACTATGGCCCACGGGGCACATGTGGCCCACCAAGGACATTTATCCTGCCTGCCAGGTGTTTTTGCCACCACTGTCTGTCCCGCTTAGCAGCCAACTTGTCCAGGGCCCGCAGTCCAGTCCTCCAGCAGTCTGAGGGACAGTGAACAGGCCCCCTGTTTAAAAAGTTTGAGGACCCCTGCTCTGGATGGTTAGAAGTAACAGGTTCAGCTTCACACAGATGGCTCCCTCACAAAGGATCCCTAATGACTCTGAACAAAGGGCACATTTCCTGTAGTTCTAAGTCCTTTCTCAAATGTAGGCTTTCTGATACTGAACGTTGACCTTTGGGCCAAAGGATTTTCCACATTTGCTAACTTCATCAGGCCTCTACATATTGTGACATTTTTGGTGTTGAAAGAAGCTGGAGCGTTGGCTAAATGATTTCCCACATTCGCTGCATTCGTAGGGCCTTTCTCCGGTATGAACTACCTGGTGCTGAATGAGGACAGACTTCTGCCTAAATGATTTCCCACACTGGCTACACTCATACGGCCTTTCTCCAGTGTGAATTCTGCAGTGTTGAATGAGGCTGGTGCTTCGACTAAAGGACTTCCCACATTCTCCACACTTATATGGTCTTTCTCCAGTATGAACTCTCTGGTGTTTAATGAAGGCTGCTCTTCGGCTAAAGGATTTCCCACATTGGCCACACTCGTAAGGCCTTGCTCTAGTGTGAATTCTCTGGTGTTCAATAAGGCTGTAGCTTTGCCTAAAGAATTTCCCACATTCCCCACACTCATAAGGCCTTTCTCCAGTGTGAGTTCTTTGGTGTCGATCAAGTTTAGATTTGTACCCAAAAGCTTTCCCACATTCCCCACACTCATAAGGCCTTTCTCTAGTGTGAACTCGCTGGTGTCTAATAAGGGTGGCTCTTTGGCTAAAAGATTTTCTGCATTGGTCACACTCATAATTTTTTGCTGTAGTGTGAATTCTACGATGTTCAATGAGGCTAAAGTTTTGTCTAAAGAATTTCCCACACTCCTCACACTCATAAGGCCTTTCTCCAGTGTGAATTCTGTGGTGTCTAATAAGGGTGGCTCTTTGACTAAAGGATTTCCCACATTCACCACATTCATAAGGCCTTTCTCCAGTGTGAATTCTGCAGTGTTCAATAAGGTTGGAACTTTGACTAAAGGATTTCCCACATTCTCTACACTTATATGGCCTTTCTCCAGTGTGAACCCTCTGATGTATAATGAGGGTGGCTTTTTGACTAAAGGATTTCTTACACTGGCCACACTCATAAGGCCTTGCTGTAGTGTGAATTCTCTGATGTTCAACAAGGCTGAAGCTCTGTCTAAACAATTTCCCACACTCACCACATTCATATGGCTTTTCTCCTGTGTGAGTTCTCTGGTGCCGCACAAGATTAGATTTGCACCCAAAGGCTTTTCCACATTCTCTACACTCATAAGGCCGTTCTCCACTGTGAATCCTACAGTGTTCAATAAGGTTGGAGCTTTGACTAAAAGATTTCCCACATTCACCACACTTATATGGCCTTTCTCCAGTATGAACTCTCTGATGTATAATTAGAGTAGCTTTTTGGCTAAAAGATTTTCCACATTCATTGCACTCATAAGGCCTTTCTTCAGTGCAGACTCTTTGGAACGGAACAAGAGAATACTTGTCTTGGAAGGCTTTTCCACATTTGCTAGACTCATAAATTCTTTTTTTAATGCAGACTTCTGGGTGTTGAACTAGAGCATGTTTATAGTTGGAATCTTTTCTGCAGCCACCTGACTTGTAACGATGTTTTCCACAGTGAAAGACCTCCCCACACTCACTGATTTTATTTAGCTTCTCATCTCTGGATATGACCTGAGGCTGGAGAAGGCACCCATGGGCTGGGAAGTTCTTTCCAATCTTTCTACAGAGGAAGGGATTCCCTGACACATGGAATATGCAGTTTTTCACAAAAGAGGCCCTATCTAAGTCTCTTTTTAATCGATTTTCTCGACTGTGGTGCTTCTGGTCCTTGTTAGGGATTGCACATGTCCCAACAAAATATGGTTTCTGCCCATGTACATCAGCCAGATGCAAAATGTCTTTCAGGATTGGGATACACATCTCACAAGGGAGAGTTTCCTGGATGGACAAACTTGCCTTCAGAGTTCTGACTGGTGACTCTTTTTCTGCAGAAACAGTCTGTGCAGAAGTAGTCTCTTCATCATCTGTTCCATGCCAACAAACTGAAAGGAGAGAAATGCTGATGAAATGCATGCTGACCACAAAGTGTATTACCTGTGTTTTAAACTTTTTCTGTTTATTATGCTTTGACAGCTTAACAAAGGTTGCTTGCTAGCTCAGCACCTATGGCTCAAGTGTCTAAGAAGCCAGCCACATACACCTAAGCTGGTGGGTTCGAATCCAGCCTGGGCCTGCCAAATAACAATGGCTGCAACCAAAAAATGGCCAGGTGTTGTGGCAGGCACCTGTGGTCCCAGCTACTTGGGAAGCGGAGGAAGGAGAATAGCTTGAGCCCAGGAGTTGGAGGTTACTGTGGGCTGTGATGCCATGGCACTCTACCCAGGGTGACAGCTTCAGGCTCTGTCTCAAAAAAAAAAAATGTTGCTTGCCACAGAGACTACCTCTGTCAGAGATAACCAATTATTTTTATGGGGTCTTCCCCTACCATGTAGATTGGAGTGCAGTAGTGCAATCATAGCCTTGAACTCCTGGCCTGAAGTGATCCTCTTGCCATAGCCTGGCCCAGAAATGTATGCAATAAACCACAGGAAAATAATTTAGTATGACAAAAAAGTCTGGAAGGAAGGTCTGGTATGGTAAAACAGTCCAGGTTCTACTAGAAGTATTGATCATAATAATGCCTGTAATTCCCAACACAGGCAGCTTTGGGGAAATGCCAGCTAGAAGAGGGTAGGAGTAGAGGCAAAAGCTGTCATGGATATGGACACAGGCACCTGGCCAAGGACAACGGTGAGGAAGGTGAGATCCATTCAGCTGACTGCAAGACCTCTGCCACCCAAATGCTACCCTGAATGCTTTGGGACAGCAGGTATTAGTGTTGCTGATAGAAAAGCAGTATGCACAGCTTAGGACTGGCACCCACGCCACATGTGCCAAGAAAGTGGAAAAGTCAGCAGAGCAATAGTCAGATTGTAAAAAGGGCAGACCTGCCTTTGAGGGTAAAGAGGAGAGACAGAGACCAGGACACAGAGCTTGGTGTAAGGGCCTTACCCAGCGAGGCTGTAAGTGCAAAGTTCTCCAGCATCACATTGAAATAGAGGAGCCTCTGAGCCTCATCAAGGAGGTCCCACTCATCCTGGGAGAAGTAAATGGCCACATCCTCAAAGGTCACACAGCTCTGTCATCATGGGGACAGATCATTCAATGATTAACTTCTCTCCAAGGATTTTAAGTTCATCTACCCACATGTCCTCCCCCTGCTCACTCTCCTCCCCAACCCATTACCTTACTATAGACCTACTAATTCCCCCAGATGACAACTTATGATTCTCAGCTAATCCACCTGACTGAAACTCAGCCTGACTAAATTCCCCAGACCAAGGATTGTTATTATATCCTGATAAGTCTAAAGCCTAATAACTAAGCATAAGTACTAGCCACAGTGTTATCCTGCCTCAATTACTCCTATGTTTCTGTATCTGATTTATGTCTACTATACCCATAGAAGCTTTTGTCATGTGCCAGATCATTCACTTTCTAACATCGTTCCCATGGCCACTTCATTTACTCCTACCAACTCCAGCTAGATGCCCAAGTGTGAGACACAGTCATGGATCCACCCTCTCTTTTCTGGGCTGCCAATAGCATCATCACTATGACCAGGATTTCCACTCCTAATTGTGACCTAAGCTAGAGTCAAGGGAAGACATTAGGTACCACCTTTAGATGTCTCCATCCTCAATTCCATCCAATTACCAACTGGATACCTTCACTAACTATTTCACTCTTAATATGACCAAAAACAATCTTCCTTATACCCTCAATGAAAATTAACCCTATTACCTTATCACATTTAGTGGAAATTTTACCCTTCCACCTGTTTAAATCCATGAGTCATATGACTCCTACTTTTCTCTTTCACCTTCAAAATCCAAAAATCCAGACAGCGCTAATGAAAAGCTGATCCAGAATCCAGCCACATTTCTTATCTCTTTGGCCGTCACCCTGGCCCACCATAAATACTCACCTAGACCTTTTTTTTTTGAGATAGAGTCTCTGGGGATCAGTGCCCTGGGGATCAGTGCCCTGGCATCATAGCTCACAATAACCTCAAACTCTTGGGCTCTGATGATTCTCTTTTTTCTTTTTTTGCAGTTTTTGGCCAGGGGTAAGTTTGAACCCGCCAGCTCCGGCATATGGGGCCAGCGCCCTACTACTTTAAGCCACAGGCGTCACCCTAAAGTGATTCTCTTGCCTCAGCCTCCCAAGTAGCTGAGACTATAGGCGTCCACCACAATGCCTGGCTATTTTTTTTTTTTTTTTTTTTTTGGAAACAGTGTCTCACTCTTGCTCAAGCTAGTCTCAAACTTCTGTGCTCAGGCTATCCACCCACTTGGGCCTCCCAGAGTGCTAGGATTACAGGTGTGTGCCACCACACATGACCACCACTAGACTATTACAGTATCTTTCTTCCTCAACTTTCTTTTCTTTTCTTTTTTTGAGACAGAGCCTCAAGCTATCCCCCTGGGTAGAGTGCCATGGCATCACAGCTCACAGCAACCTCCAACTCCTCGGGTCACATGAGTCTCCTGCCTCAGCCTCCCAAGTAGCTGGGACCACAGGCGCCTGCCACAACGTCTGGCTATTTTTTTGGTTGCAGCCATCATTGTTGTTTTGGAGGGCTCGGGCTGGATTCAAACCCGCCACCTTAGTTGTATGTGGCTGGCACCTTAGCCACTTGAGCCACAGGCACCGAGCCTTAACTTTCTATCACCTGATTCACACCCAGTCTGTTCTCTTTGCTGCAGTAACAGGGAGCCTAGTGAAGACCAGGGTCAGATCACCTTGCTGTTTTGCTCCAAACCTCCCAATGCTCTCATTACTTGCAGAATTGACATCTGACTTCTCACAGCACCATTCTAGGCCTGACTTCTGCCACTACTCTAACTTCCCAAGAGAAACAAAGAAACCTATGGTCCCTGAGTCACCTCTGACACACTTCTAAGCATTTGCAATTCTAGGACCTATGCCAGGAATAACCTTCATCTTATTCCTTTGGTGTCACCCTCAGAAACCACTCTATGATACCTAGCCTGGATTTATTATACAACTTTTGGCCTGGTTTTTTTTCAGGTTCTCAAGGAGTAAAAGGGCAGCAGATCAAGAGTCCCAGGACAGAACTCTAGATACAAAGGGTGAGCTCACACCAGTGAGGCCCTGGAACATCCTCTGCTCACCTTGGTATAGTCCATAAGTGCTTCTGTAGTCATGGAAATCTGTGAGAAAAGGAAGGTTATAAGAGAGAAGTAACCAGGGTTGGGGCTCCACAGGCTCAGGCCTTCCTGTTTCCCTGGAGTTAAGTGTTCCTGAAATGACTAGGTCTCACTCCTCAGTGCTGAGTCTTGTCTGCTGCAGAATGCGGCATGAGGACTCAACCTTCCTGTGCCTTAGTGTTATCACCCCCTTTCCTGGCTGTTCTAGTTCTGATCGGCTTTTGGAAAATTATGACAAGTCTAACTCAAACGACGTGCATCTTCTATTCACAAAGTCTCATGGCTCCCAACAACCTGAGCATGAAGGTAAAACCTCTGTCACGGCGTCCCACACCTCATCAAGTCGGCTGTTGATGAGGAGCCGATCTTTGAGCGCCTCACTGTCCCTGACCTAGGGGTCTAGGCTGGAGGGACGACAGCAAGCTCCCTCACTTGGGGCTTTACGACTTGAGTGCGGTGAGGGGAAGTGAGACCCTGGGGGCCCGTCTAGGTGTAGCGCAGTGCGTTCTAGACCCTTCTTGAGGAAATATGAGACCTTTAAAATGTTTGTGATAGTGTTTTCTTCAAGTTAGTATCTGCAAGTGAGATCCTGGGAACCGGCACTCACCTCAGCCGGGTCCCTCAGCGAAGCCGCCTGCAGATTCAGGACGCAGAGGAGCGGGGAGTGGTGGCAACCAGGACGGGATGGAAGGGGTACCTGGGCAGGGCTGTCGCCACCGCTGCCGACCCTCAGAGCAGCCGGCGTGCAGAGGGGACGACCCCTACCCCTGCGCCTTCTTAGTCTAGTCAGCTTGACCTGAAGTCCTCGCTCCCGAAGCTGGGACTAGAAGACCCACCCACTAAGCGCTAAAATGACTACTGCTGCAGCTAAAAGGAAGTCCTGCCCCCACTCTGCGGGGTATCCAAACACTGATACCTTTTCTGAGTGCTCATTGGCTCTGCACCTTATACTCCGCGCGGGACGTTATGGGTAGTGCAGTTCCCGCAGCTTCCCAAGCTGCCGCGCAGGACGCGCTGGTCTGGAGCTAGGTCAGCCTGCGGAGGCTGCGGTGAGGGACAACTTTGAGTGCTGGTCGCGGGATTGTCTCGGCAGGTGTGAGGGAGACTGGAGAGAAGACGGTCCTCACCTGGTCCGGGACTCATAAGGGCACCTACAGGAGGCCCCTTCCTGGGAGGGACCAAGCAGGGACCCAAGGAAGGCACCGAGTCCAGCGTCAGGTCCGGGCGCCAGAAAGTTCCTTTCTTCTTTCTTCCGTGAATCCCCTCCCACTCCTCGAGTTTCCGAGCTTCCAGCCGAGAACCGCGTCCGGAAGGGTCGCCTATGAGCCCGGGACCCCCTGGGGACTTTCTCCCACTCGGCCTCCTGCACATCTGCCAGGGCAGTCTCAGCACCAGCTGGAGGGCGCCCGGAGCGGCAGCTTGTGGGGATCGGAACGAGGTCCCTCGGACTCGCGGGGAGGACTCGGGCCCCACGGGGAGCTGTGGAGACCCTGGAACCATGGAGCGGGAAGGTTCTTAGTCCCCTTCGGGAAGCCCACGCTCCCGCCATTAGCGAGCGGCCAGGGCTCCGCCGGTAGCGACTCTCTTGAAGGCCTGCACAGGGGTGCGGACACCTTCTAGGGGTATCAGTTCCCGCACCTCCTTACCTTCTGGTCCCAGAGGCCGGCACCCCCTGCTACGGTTCCCTCACCCTAAGCCGCAACTGTCTGGTCCCCTTCCTTGCTGTCCTCTCGGAGAGCGCGACCCAATCAGCCCCGCGCCAGGAGGTCTCCCCGTCGGTGCCTGCCGGCAGAGAGGGACCCCCCCACCATGGGGGTTAATCCGCTCCTGTGAGCCCTGGATGCGCTGGCCCGAAGCCGACCCGGCTCGGACTTTTCTATCGTCCCTGATCGAATCCAGTGCTGCGCCGGCCACGGACTCAGCAGCCAGCTCAAGAGCAGTAGCACCTTCGCACCCGAGGGCGTCGCTCGCACGCTAAACTCTGTGGGAATGAGCGTTACTGCTGGGCCCGCAGTTTTGGGGGGCAGCTGTGTAGGTTCTGAGAGTATCTAAGCCCTCTGAGTCCGAAGACTCGCTGCTAAGCAACTGGATGCTTAGACACAAACAGAACTGTCTGGAAATCGTCCAGTGGCGCCCTTAAAAAGAAGCAAAGCGCCGCCCCTGCTCTCGAGGTTGCAGACGCCTTTTCTCAACTCCTCAGGTGGACCCTCCTGAGCTTTGTTCCGGGTAAATCCTTGGGAGAGCGCAGGGGACCCGGGGAGCCGTGAGAACTACATTACCCTAAAGCTATGCGCCAAGTGCCTAAAGACGCGGAGCCTATGAAAGCTCAAGACCCGGCTTTCCCCCGCCCCGCCCCCGCGCTTGTTCCAAACTGTGAGGCGGGACTTCCGGCATCTCTCCTGGGGCAGTCGTTTCGGTGGTTCTCTGACTCTGTCCTGGCGTTGGTTAGGGGCGTTGAGTCGGACTTCAGAACAGAAGTCGGCCCCGCTGAATAGCAGCTGGTGGGTCTGCAGTGGTGGTGACCCCGCCGGGGTTGCTCGCCACTCCTGACTCCGATCTGCCCACCAGACCGATGGCGGCGGCCGGGCTGAGGGACCCGACTCAGGTAAGTGCTACGTCTCTGGGCTTCACTCGTCCTCCCCCAACCAAAGCCCGGCTGGAGGGCTCCAGCTGACGTTGCTACAGTCAGCAAAGAGCTCGTGGGTGGAGTCCCCATTTCCAAAGTTAGTGTCATGGAGTATGGGAGAGTGTGTCAGGCAGAGGGATCGGTTTGTGCAAAAATCTCGCTGGGACGATTGGGCTAACAGCGTTCACGACTAGAATTCTCTGGACGCTGGAACCCATGGAAGGAAGGTTGTGAACTAAAGAAGCACATATTCTGAATTAGGTTATTCCAAGTTTTCCAAAAGCTGCTCGGAGTTAGACCAGCCTGGAAAGGGGATGGTATAATAGAGAGGCACCCGGAGGTTCTTGTGCAAAGTCACTAAGCAAGTTAAGAGTGAGGACTGGAGGATGGAGGAGCACTGGTAATGCATTCATGCCCAGGTCACTTGGTTCCAGGGCTGGGCAGGGAACAAGGAATCCTGTTCCCATGGAACCCCCACTTTGGTCACCAGTCTCTCTTCTTCTTCCCACAGGTTCCCATGACTACAGAAGCGCGTATGGGCTTCACACAGGTGAGTGGAGAGTGTTTCAGGCACTCACTGTTGCTGACAAACTGGCGTTTGTCTCTGGAATTATTTTCTGGGATTCATCCCATGGCACTCTTCCAGTCTTTGGGCCAAGGGACCCTGAGCAAATATCAGTGTAGGGTTGTACATCCAGGCTGGGGGCTGTATAGAGTGGCTCCCATTTACTGGAAACTAGTAAAGTAAGGAACAAAAGGTGTCCCAATCTTAGATACTAGCATATGCTTGCAGGTAAGACTAACCTGGTTTAGGGAAGCATAAGTTTTTTGTTTTTGTTTTTTTAATGGGAACTGAGAGCTGGGGTGCAGAAGTTAAATAAGGAATAGTTGTCAGATGTTGGGTGTCTACTAGTATGAAGTGAGCAATGGGAGTTTGTGGAAAGACTGAGTATCAAGAATTGGGATAGGAAGACTGAAGAGAAGTCTGCCGCAGTAGCCCAGGGGACTGTTAATGATGATTAGACCAGAGTGGTGGCCACTGAGGTGGTAGAAGTAACTGATTCTAGATCAGTTTTTTGTTTTGTTTGTTTTCTTTCTCTCTCTCTCTTTTTTTTTTCTTAAGACAGTATCAAGCTGTCACCCTGGGTAGAGTGCCATGGTATCACAGCTCACAGCAACCTCAAATTCTTGGGTTTAAGCGATTCTCTTGCCTCAGCCTCCCAAGTATCTGGGACTATAGGTGCCTACTACAAAGCCTGGCTATTTGTTGTTGTTGTTGTTGTTGCAGTTGTCATTGTTTTAGCTGGCCCAGGCCGGGTTCAAACCTTCCATCCTCTGTGTATGTGGCCAGCACCTTATCCACTGAGCTACGGGTGCTGCCTAGATCAGCTTTAAGTAGGTAAGGCTAGAGTTTCATTTTATTCCTTTTTTTTTTTTTTTTTTTTATAGAGATGAGGTCTGTGTCCCCCTTCTGGAGCACAATGGGCATGATAAGAGCTTGCTGAAGCCTTGAACTCCTCAAGTGATTCTTCTGAGTAGAAGAATCCTTCCTTCCTACAAAAGGAAGCCCAGATTTTTAGATGTTCAGGGTGAGAGATATAGAAAAGTAGGAGTCAGGGGTGAAAGCAAAGTATTTAGGTTTAGTTGCTAGAAGTATAGAAGCTTCACTAACCCAGATTGTAAAGTCAGTAGTGGGTCAAATATTGGTGATAACAGAAATTTTGTTTTGGGGTATTTTTAGAGTTAGATGTTCCAAATAAGTTAGTTTAGACATAAAGTGATCAGTTGACCAGATAGGACTAGAACTGTGGGGAGAGATTGAAGATGGGACATTAAAAAGCTGTGGCCACTGCTCGGTACCTGTAGCACAGTGGTTACAGCACCAGCCATATACACTGAGGCTGGCGGGCCAACCAAACAATGACACCTGCAAAAAATAGCTGGGCGCTGTGGCAGGTGCCTGTAGTCCCAGCTACTTGGGAGACTGAGGCAAGAGAATAGCTTAAGCCCAACAGTTTGAAGTTGCTATGAGCTGTGACACCACAGCACTCTACCAAGGACAACAGAGTGTCTCTCAAAAAAAGAGACAGTTTGTGGCCAGTATTTATATAGTGACATAGCTTGGGTCACAATTAGGAAGAGAAAGCTTGTTCACTCTCACAATACTGTTAGCAGTGCAGGAAAGGGAGGTTGAGGGTCACTACTGGATCTTATGCTTGGGTGCCTGGGTGGTTGAGGTGGGAATCTCAAAGACCGGTATAGGGGAGAAGTATCCATGGGTAGGGTATGAGAGTGAGAATGATCTGGCAAATGGCCAAGGCTGTAAGGGAGGCATGGCATGAGATCAATGTGAAGGCCAAGATGACACTGAGGCCAGGACTAAGGTTACTAAGCACACTTTGGATCCACCAGAATTTTGTAGTGATACACCAGGTGTACCTGGGAAGTTTCAGTCAATTAGGTAGGTAATTTTAGGGAAATAATTGGTCATCTGGGAGAGTCACTGGGCCTAAGGTAGAGGGCCTCTGGGGCAGGGTTTAAATGAGGGTTAGCAGGAGAGGAAGGCTGCAACTGTACAGAAGTTGTAAGTGCAGCACAAGTGGGCTACCAGCATCTACAGCTAAAATTCTCTGACAAGGCTTGACATCCAGCCTATTTTCTAGTCATACCAGGAACCTGTCCTGTGTCCTAGAATTTTGGTGCTTATGCCACTAAATAAGTGGAAGAAGGCTCAGGGTGTCTGGGTTCTACATGGGGTTTTGAAGTTGAAATAAAGAACAGGGTCAATCAGTGAGGCCTTTGGAGCAGGGTGGAGTCTGCCTCTGGCAGCGGGTAGGGCACCTGGGGTCTTTGTAATCCTGGATCCCATTTCAGTTTGCCAAGCACTTCCTGGATATCTTGTTCTGAGTAACATGGACAGGCCAGGGAGATACCTTTGGTGTGGGGAATGGGAGAGAAGTATCTGTGTGAGTTAGACTGTGTGAGATAGTATGCCAAAGAGTGATGTGCACATGGAGAGGGAGTATGCAATAAAGGACTTATGGTTGTGGCATTCGGAACATAAGAATGATGGGTAAAGCCATGTTTGTTTGTGTCTAAGAAGCACAATCTTGGGAACTCCAGGAAAATTGTCTGATAAGAGGGATCCAGCCCTATATGCCAAGCCCAGATTTAGATGGCATCTTCTGATCCACCTGCCTACTGGTGCTGTGGTAGGACACAGTGACCAATGGGACCATGAGAAAAGGGCAGGAATTAGTACCCTAGTCACTCCTCTAAGGTGGGGATTAAGGACAAGGATGATCAGGGGAAGGATGGGTGGTGGGATGAACTCACGGGTATAGGAGAGAATCTCATTATGGCAAGATCTGTCCCCATCATGGCAGGGCTCTGTGACCTTTGAGGACGTGGCCATTTACTTCTCCCAGGAAGAGTGGGGGCTACTTGATGAGGCTCAGAGGCTCCTATACCACGATGTGATGCTGGAGAACTTTGCACTTATAACCTCGCTGGGTAAGGCCCTAACACCTACCTCAGTGTCCTGGTCTCTGTCTCTCTGCTTTTTCCTTAGTGGCAGATCTGTCCTGTCTAGAACCAGATGATGGCTCTGCTGACTTCCCACTGTCTTGCCATATGTGCTCTGATGTCAGGAATGAGCTGCATTCACTCCCTGAGCAGCCTTCACTACCCTTGTACCAAAGCATGCAGAGAAAGGTTTGGATGTCAGATACCTTGGGTTAATGCATCTCCCCTTTTGGTTTACTATGTCCAGATCTATGGCACTTTGTCCCAAGTTCTGCTTCCTTTAAATGATACAGTATTGGGCGGCGCCTATGGCTCAAAGGAGTAGGGCGCCGGGCACATATACCAGAGGTGGTGGGTTCAAACCCAGCCCCGGCCAAAAACTGCAAAAAAAAAAAAAAAATACATGTATTTCCTGTGGCTGACTATGTCAGCAATATGCAGGCATTTTTTTTTGTCAGTATTTACACAGACCATGTTGTGTTGCCAGAACCTCCTTCAGTGATCTGTGTAATATTAATTTTCTTTTTTTTTTTTTTTGGCCAGGGCTGGGTTTGAACCCACCACCTCTGGCATATGGGGCCAGCACCCTACTCCTTGAGCCACAAGTGCTGCCCAATAGTAATTTTCTTTCCTGTGGTCTCAGTTGAGCTCACTTACTCTGAGCCAGTGCTAGACACTCACCTGTCCTTCCTTGTCCCTCAGGACTTGTTTCCTGCAGGTCTCATGGAGTGGTACACCTAGAGGTGTCCAGAGACTCCTGGTTGCTTCACAGGGTGAAAATGGCAATATAACCTCAGAGGATGCTTGGCCTTGCTAAGTAGCAATTAGGGCAGGGCTTGACATCCAGGCTATTTTCTAGTCATACCAGGAACCTGTCCTGTGTCCACTAAAATTTTGGTGCCAATACCACTAAACACACCTTTTTTTTTAATCTTTTCTTACCCTTACTTGACACTTTGCTGGCTTGTTGTTTCATCTGTGATGTCCAACCTCATACTCCCCCATACGTATGTGCTCTGCATGTCACCTACTCCTCTATACTACCCTCTCTACTATATTTTCCAATACTGACTGATCCGTGATGTGTCAGGAGGTGTGCACACATTAAATATTCCATGAACACAGTTGGAATCCCCTGCTCAGTTATAATTGGATTTTCCTGGGCCTGGATACTACCCACCTTAAGCACATTAAGTGTGTGACACAGGCTGACAAGGTTTTCTCAAAGACTCTGGCAGAGAAGTAAATTGGAGACCCTGCCTCTCCTCCATGTCCTGTACCTCATCTTTATGTCCTTTGTTTGGTGAACTCTCCCCATTTTGTGATCTTTAGAGGCCCAGTATTGCCAGCCTTTCCTTACCCTGATTGCAGTTCCTTCATCCTCAGAGCAAGGGGGCTTCCCCTTTACTGTTTTAAGAGATATGCATAGGATTTTTTTTTTTTTTAGACAGAGTCTGATGGTGTCACCCTTGGTAGAGTGCCATGGCATCACAGCTCACAGCAACCTCAAACTCTTGTGCTTAAGCGATTCTCTTGCCTCAGCCTCCCAAGTAGCTGGGACTACAGGCGCCCACCACAATACCTGGCTATTTTGTTGGTGTTGTAGTTGCCACTGTATTTGGCAGGCCTGGGCTGGGTTCGAACCTGCCAGCTCTGGTGTATGTGGCTGGCACCCTATCTGCTGAGCTACAGGTGGATTTTAATTTATAGAGGTGACTAAGACCCAACACAAAGAAGTTAACGTCAATGACAGAAGAATTTATTACCTATAGTGGCAAGATAATATGAGCACCATGCCACTTGGTGCCACATGAGAAAGTGCCCAGTGGTCAAGAGGCACAAATAAGAGAGGAGGAAAAACTTTAAGCCATATTCTTTACTGAAGTTTCTGCAGGAAGGGCAGGGCAAGGCAAACAACTGAAGATTGAGGTTTTGGGGCAAAGGAGCTAGCTAGCCTTAATTGTCTGCTACCTGACCTTGGGATGATTAGGGCAGAGAAATATTACCTCCTGAAGTATCCAGGCCACAAAAAAAAAATAAATAAATAAAAAACGTGATTTGGATTATAGGGGCTGAATTGGTTACTTTGCCTTTGTTTTTGGTTTTTTTAAAGCAGAGTCTTACTTTGTCTCCCATGGTAGAGTACCATCACATCAAGTTCACAACAACCTCAAACTCTTGGGTTCAAGTGATCTTCTTGCCTGAGCCTCCAAAGTTACTGGGACTACAGGCAACCACCACAATGCCCGGCTATTTTTTAGAGATGGGGGTCTCGTGAGCTTAAGCAATCTACTGACCTCAGCCTCTCAGAGTGCTAGGATTACAGGCATGAGCCAACGCAATAGGCCCTTTACTTTGCATTTGAATGGTATGCTTAATAGCTGGGTGTTGTGGCTGCCTGTAGTCCCAGCTAGTCAGGAGGCTGAGGCAAGAGAATCGGCTAAGCCCAAGAGCTGGAGGTTGCTGTGAGCTATGATACTACAGCACTCTACTGAGGGCAACAAAGTGAGACTCTGTCTCAAAAAAAAAAAAAAAAAGAAAGAAAGAAAAATGAATGGTATGCTCCCAGCTGAACCCTTTGCTGTATCTTTTTTTTTAAATTTTTGAAACAGAGTTTTACTATGTTGCCCTTCCTAGAGTGCCATGGCATCATCATAGTTCAAAGCAACCTTAAATTCTTGGGCTTGAGCAATCCTCTTGCCTCAGCCTCCCTAATAGCTGGGACTACTGGCATGCATCACTTTACCCAGCTAGTTTTTCTATTTTTAGTGGAGATAGAGTCTCACTCTTGCTCTGGCTGGTCTGGAACTCCTGAGCTCAAGTAATCTGCCCTCCTTGGCTTACAGGTGTGAGCCAATGCACCTGGTCCCCTTTGCTATCTTTTAAGAATTAGCTAGCTCTAGGAGCAACATTCCCTAGTCAGCAAAGTTTTTATTCCTTTTTCTTTGAGACAAGAGTCTCACTTTGTTGCCCATGGTAGAGTGCCATGGCGTCACAGCTCATAGCAACCTCAAATTCTTGGGCTTAAGTGATTCTCTTGCCTTAGCCTCCTGCATAGCTGGGACTACAGGCACCTGCCTGGTTATTTTTTTGTTTTCAACAGGCTGGGTTCAAACCCCCTGGTGCATGTGGCCGGCATCCTACTGACTGAGCTATGTGTACTGCCTGCCAGCAAAGTTTTTAAAATGTTAAATTATCTGGGCCGGGTGCAGTAGCTCACACCTGTAATCCTAATACTCTGCGAGGCCAATACAGGTGGATTGCTGGAGGTCGGGAGATTGAGACCAGCCTGAGCAAAAGTCAGACCCCCATCTCTAGAAAATAGCCAGGCATTGTGGTGGGTGCCTGTAGTCCCAGCTACTCAGGAGTCTGAGACAAGAGAATCATTTGAGCCCAGGAATTGGTGATTGCTGTAAGCTATGATACCACAGTACTCTACCGAGTGTAACATAAAAAGACTCTGTCTCAAAAAAAAAAAAAGTTAAAACATGAAATTTTACAGAAAATACATTTTTTAAATGATACATTCCCTGTGTAGTCAAAATGAATTTCTTTTCTTTTTTTTGAGACAGAGCCTCAAGCTATCCCCCTGGGTAGAGTGC